ATGCTGTGCTCTTCTGCTGGTTGCAGCGCAGCCCGCTCTCCGCCAGTAGTGTAGTCAGGAGTGTGAAGGCCTCCGCGGCTTCCGCTGCTGGGGTGATATCATCCGCGTATGCCGCCAGCATTACTGAGGGGAAGGTTGTGGCGGTGCGGAGCAGGGCCGGTTGGATGGCTGCCGCGAATGGTAGCGGGCCCAGAGGGTCTCCCTGCCGGACCCCTCAGGTGCTTGTCAGTGTGGGGACCGTGTAGTCGTCGTCTAGTAACAGGGTCGACGGCCTAGCGTATAGGGTTTTTGTAAGAGGGATTAGTGCTGTCAAGCCTGACCAGAGTAGGCTGTGGAAAAAAACTGCCCTTTCCACGGAATTGAAGGTGTTGTTGATGTCGATGGCAATGGTGACGTGGTCTGGTTGGGCTTCCAGGTAGGTTCGGATGGCATGGATGATGCATTCCGAGCCACCTGGCACGGCGACCCCGAACTGGACTGGCAGGAGATAGTGGCGAATCTCTGTTCCCAACGTCTGTAGCGCTGCCTTCCCCACGAGTCTGAGGATAACTTCCCCAATAGCTATGGGACGAACACCTCCTCCCGGTTTCTCGAATGCTAGGAGGCGGCTGGGCAGGAGGAGATCTGCTACTGGGTCCGTTAGTGTCGTGCTAAGCAGGTGGTTGCAGGCTGCGTGGAGGAGGTTGCACACTTTGTTGTTTGAGAGGGCTGGCTCTCGCTGGTGTTCGTAGCAGGTTCCTGAAGGCCCTCCCCCTATTCCGTTTGGGCAGGAGGCGAGGAGTCGCCGGAAGTCCTCCAGCACAATGGAGAGGTTGGACGTGACGTGTCCCTCCAGTTGCGCTGGTAGTGGTGTAGCTGCTGGGGGGTGTTTGTCTCGTAGTGCATCCAGGGTCGATTCTGACACAACGGCGAGTGGGGTGTGTCGCAATGCAGTTACCGCTTTGGCGAGGTTCGCTTTACGGACCAGGCCTTCTGCTCTCCCTTTTAGGCCCTGCGCGTCGGGCCTGTGTCGTGTCTGGTTGCGGGATGTCAGATTGGATTTTGCTTGCTGCAGAAGGTTGTCCTATGCGCCACACCTGAACTGGTGTAGGTGGTATTCGACAGCCGTCCAATCAGGTTTTGGGTTCCCTCCTGGGTTCAGGGTCAGTCGGGGCAGTAGTAGGAAGATCCGCCACGCGCCCAGGCAGGTTGGGTTTGCAGAGATTCATAGGAGCGCTGTGAGCAGGCAGTGAGTGTATTCCTCCAAAAAATTTGGTGGCAGGCGCCTCGGCAGGTGTGGTTGCCGCGAGTTGGTGAGGTGGGAAATATCCCAGGTTTCCACTTGTCGCCATCTGTCGTTATTCGTCACGAGCTGTTCTGGCGCGTGGGTGGCTCGTTCATCAGAGTTCGGCAAGGTTGGGATTTGGGGTTGGGGCGCTCCGATGTTCCCTCCTCTCGGTGGCGCTCCGGCTCGTCGAGCGGGCCGATGTCCCCCGCTGCTCTCTTCTCATTCATCAGTGACTGATTCGTTCTCAGAGGGGGCAGCCGAGGGGACTGTATAATTGGAGCCCTCCGAGTCTCCTTCCTCATTCGCTCTCCCCTCTGCGTCCGCCACTAGTTTTCTACCATGTCACTCTCTCCAGGGCCGTCGCCTTCGTTCCGCCAGCTCCTCCTCCGCCGATCTCCGCACCTGCGTGCCTCTGCGTCCCCGTCCGCCTATCCCTCCGCACCGTCCCCTTCCCCTCGTGGCGCTACCTTCCCGTAGTGGCTGGCGGCTGCCGGCCTCCTCTCTGTTGCACTCTCTTCCTGTGCTTCCCCGTGCCGTTTGCTCCAATGGATCTGGACCTGCTGCTGTCTCCTCGTAGCCATCTCTGCGTCTGGGAGGTCCAGCACCCGTCTGGCCTGCCCTCTCCTTATCAGACGGGGCTGACGCGCCGCCCACATCCACGCGCTTATCGCCCTGGTGGCGGCATCGCTCTGTCGTACCGTCCGTTTCCTGCCGCTGCTCCTTGTTACGAGGTGGTTCTCAGTGGGGCTGCCTCGCCTGTTGGGCCTCCTCGTGGGGTTTGTCTCCGGCATTCCCCTCCCCATCTTTCCATCCCCTGTCTGCACCGGTCTCGCGACGGGCCACAGTACAGTCCGGCTGAGCAGCTGCTGGGGGTGGCTTGCCGAGATGATGGAGGTGTTGCATGTGGCCTTGGCATGGCGTCCGCCCGTTGCTCGGGACCTGGTGTTGTCACGGCGTCAGCGAGCGCGTGTTGAGGAGGTGGCTGCGTGGCTGTTGTGGGGTCTTGTGTACATCCCTCTCCCTCCGCGTGCTGTTGTTGACGAGGCCGCCGTGGCGCCGCTCGCGGTGTCTGCCCTCTCTCGCGCTTTAGCAGGCAAGACTGCCCTCGGACTCGTGTCTGCCTCCGCGTCTGTACTCCGTGCCATGCGGGGTGTGTTAGCCCAGCTACCTTCGCCGGTGTGATCCTCGGCATGTTCTTGTGGCGGTCGTGGCGGGTTTAGCACGCCCTTCGCCGTAGCTAGTCTAGGGGCTAGGTGACTTGCCTTGCCTGGTGTATCACCATCGTATATATATACCTCTATACAAAGATTCTGTATTTGGCATGCCGTCTTGTCGTCCAAGCTTGCGCGGCAGTAGGTGGCGCCGCGAGCACCGGCACCGATGGCAGAGAAGCACTCAAAGAGGAAAATTGAATAATGAGGAGAGAATGGTTTCTAGGCTGTTTATATACTCGCTCTCTCTCTCTCTCTCTCTCTCTCTCTCTCTCTCTCTCTCTCTCTCTCTCTCTCTCTCTCTCTCTCTCTCTCTCGCTCTCGCGAGTGCTGGCACCGATGGCAGAGAATCACTCAAAGAGGAAAATTGAATAATGAGGTGCGAATGGTCTCTGGGCTGTTTATATACTCGCTCTCTCTCTCTTTCTCTCACTCTCTCTCTCTCTATGTATCTCTCCCTCTCTCTCTCTCTCTCTCTCTCTCTCTCTCTCTCTCTCTCTCTCTTTCTCTCTCTCTTTCTCTCTCTCTCTCTCTCTCTCTCTCTCTCTCTCTCTCTCTCTTTCTCTCTCTCTCTCTCTCTCTCTCTCTCTCTCTCTCTCTCTCTCTCTCTCTCTCTCTCCTTCTCTCTCTCTCTCTCTCTCTCTCTCTCTCTCTCTCTCTCTCTCTCTCTCTCCCTGCCCCTCTCCCTCTCCCTCTCTCTTTCCTCCTCCAGTGCGCTTGGTGCGCTGTTATGCATGCTAACTCGTGCGTGGTTGCGTAGGCTTCATGAGCATACAATTGCTAGCCTTCGGAGTTTTAGAGGGCACGCAGCTGATCAGAATCTTAGCACTAGTTTCCTGGACTTGCTCGAGTAAAATGGCGTTGTGCATGCTTTGGCCATGACTGTTTTCGGCGCGGCCATCCCCAAAGGGTGAGCGTTGGATGTAGCGGTTTGTACAAGATGCTGTTTTTTTTCTTTCTTTCTTTCTTTCTTTTTGCTGCTTTCATTTTGCCCATTGAGAGGGGAACATGCCACCCAAATAAGGCTCCCATGAGGGATTTGAATCACAAAAAAAGAGAGGAAATCAGTCACCCAATTACAAAGAAAACCTTTTCCATGGTCATCCTACTATGGTATCTTCCAAGGTCGTGAAGGAAAATCAGCCTGAGATGCCAATAGCATAGGCTGCGAGAATGAGGTGTGTGACCTACCCCTTACTCATTTAGGGACTTGCTTCATACTAAAACAGAGAACCAGCACTCCCAAAGGGGCCTCCTACTTTGGTTCCTAAGAAGGGCACCGAGTCCCACCATCCGCCCTGTTTGGGGCTTGGCCCTAGGCCTGCCGTATGACCCCCACAGGGCTTGGGCCAGTGGCCCTTCACTCTACACCCCACATGGGGAGTGGCCAGCAGCCCCAAGCACCTCGTGGTGCAGTGGAACCTCTCCAAGGTCCACCCAATTGAACTCTCCGCCCCTCACACCACGGGTGCAGGCCCTTGGGAACCATGCCCACCGGAAGAGCATGTGTTCGCCGTGTGACCCGGCTGGCCACAGCGGAAACAAGCACCTCGGAAGCCTCGCTGGTCGCCGCTCGGTGGGGCGCCATATTTGCCGCCGAAGCCCATCGGGCCACGACCCCCAACAGAGTTGCCGCGGCCGTAGGGGGCTTGTGCATGCTTCATGGCCGCTACATCAGCGGCCGCCTGCTTGAAGGGGCGAGAGGTTAGCACGCTCTTCTGCTGGGAGAGCTTGAAGCGATGAGCCATCTTGAAGTCAGAGGCGTCAGCGACTTGGAGGAGCTCGAAGCGATTGGCGATGAGCGCGTACGCCTCGTCGAAGTATCTAAGCACGCCGGCAGAGTCACTGTGGCGCAGCTTGTGCTCGACGTGCTTCAGGTATGCCCCCAGGTCTTCCAAAACTTCCGCTTGCTCGCGGACCCCGGCGTTGGCGAAGGAGGAAGTCAGAATCATGGGGTTAGAGGAAGGAAGAGGAGGGAGGTGTTCGGTAAATGCATGTGCAAACAAGCTCCACATCTTGTTCGCACAGTAGAACCATCATACCTGCTGCCTTTGCACAAACGGCTCAAAGTCAACTGCATCCATCAACGCCGCATCTGGAAACACAAACGCATTGGTGACCCGGTCATGCGCTATGGCGTGCTCCATAACAGGGCACTCCATCCACTTTTTCAGGCAGGCGCATACCTCCTTATAGTTGTGGCGAGATAGCCTCTTACTTCCCTGATAGCTTGCCAACCCGAATGTTGTTCAGGATGGGCCACTCAATCTGAGAATAATGAGGATTGGTCGCAAGGTGAATTCTTTTGGTTACACAAAACTTTTGGACAGGAGTGTTTGACAAATTAAACTTTTGTTTTTAGATTTTGACGAAGATTTAATACAACATTTGAAAAACATAAAGTTTTTACATCCTATCAAAATTTCCACAAACACCACCGACAATCAATATAAGTGTTCTAGCATGATTTGGGCTACAAAACCACATAAAAATATGTATCCAAATCCTTAGACGAATTTGAATCACTATCGTCATTGCTAATCACCCAAGGATTGCTCCCCTTAGCTCCTATGACAACATCCTCGGCCGGGCATTCACTGCCTCTATAACCAACTTCCTCCTCTTTATCGACCAGCTTCTCCTTCCCGGTCTGGGACTCATGACCCTTTTTCTCCTTCTTTCCTTTGTTGCCCTTCCCCCGCATTTCCTTCCCTAGACCTCCCTTCATCTTTCCCCTTGTAGATCCAAAGACCTCCCAATCAATTTTACATTCTGCAAAATCCTCCTCCTTACCCCCTTGCTCACTTCACCCCTCTGTGGCTCCACAATAATATCCATGCACCCCTTGGCAAGCTTCTTAGCAACCAAGTTCGTGAAGAGCTAATGACGAAGCTATAAACTCTTGTCAAATGCAGCCATGCAGCGCCTACAAAATGTGATCGCAATGCTGCACCTTATTCATGGCCGACCAGCAACACTCTGCCCCAAAGCGGTACACCTTAGTTCTCAATAATTTCAGGACCCCAAATGCGAGCCATGCTATGGGACATCACCTTGGGGCTGTGAAAATAAAAAATATGTTGGCGTTAATTTCACGGGGGTGTTGCCTTTGAAAGTCCGCGTTGACTTTGTCACGCGTTGAATTTCTGCTGCCTGCAATGTGGAGGGGGGGGGATGGGTTGTTGGTGGATTACACAAATTTAGGGGAATCAAAATGCCCAATGCATGATTTTTTTCTAATAAATAATTTTGCTCATAGTGGTATACAGTACAAAATATAGCCTTCCATTTTAACTGCCCAATGCATGATGAGCACATAAGGTTTGGCGCAATAAAAAACCTGTGATACTTGGCTGGGTAGGACACCTAGGCTCGCCCCACCTTGCTTTTGCCCCCCAGGTTGGAGTACAAAAGTATAAACGCCTTTCATTTCTCCAAGAAACAGGGCTGGTCCCTCTCCATGTTTGGATGTCCCATCCATTGCCCATCTTGTTGAAATGTTGTTGAGCAACTTGGTCCGTCGAAGCGCGGTGTGAAATCAACTTGTCAAATTATCGAGAACTAGGTGTAACAGGTTAGCACCTTCACAGTCAAATTCTGCATAGTGGCTAACTCCCCTCCATACATGCAGGCAGATGCAGACAATCGACACTCAGCACAAGAATAGTGGCTGACCATTGTGCAACTGCCACCCTCAAGCGCCTCTCCCTCTTCTAAATCGTTGCTAGGTGTGCAAGGAGGAGGATACGCCATTGCAACCTCAGGCGACACCTTGTTCTTTGGATCCAGGAGCCAACCAATGGTGTGTAGCCGGTTGTGCAGCAGCCCATCAGAGCGACTGACAATGATGCCCTTAAGGCTGGCAGAGAAATGCGTGTTGTCCTTGGCACCAACAAGGAAGGTGCACTGAGCTAAAAAGAAACCTGCAAGGGGTTGAATAGAGTAAGTCACACAATCAAGTACAGAAACAAGTGGTCAAACATTTGAATTCGGGTTCAAGCCAGGGAAATCAAGGTGCAAGTTGGCGCAAAAAGAAGTATTCACAAGATGCAGTGAACGGTGACACTGTCTTGCACTTTACACCTACTCCCTGTTAATTTCACACCCAGCGCTTCGGGTTCAGGACTCAATCCTGGTGATGCCGGACTTCGTCAGTTGCAGGAGAACTTTGGACTCAACGATGTGAAATGAGCTATTTATATTGCAGGGGTGACATGGGGTGGGGCGCTGTTGTCTCATCAGGGGCGCGTTTAAGCTGGGTGTTGGTTCGAATCAGGCTGATTGACCCTAAGTTCACTTATGTTGGGCAAGGCAGTTTTTATGCTTTTCTTTTGAACCCCTACCAATGTAGGGCCCGAGATGCGTAGAATACAGCCTCTGAAAACATGCCCTGCGCAGAATTTGGGCATCCTTTTAGGACAAAATGAAAAGCTCTATAACGAGGAGGGACGAGCATGTGTGGGAATTTTGTCCTCACCTTGCAGCTGCAGCATTTGGGGTTCGGATGCCAACCTGGCACTGTGTGAATTTTGTCTTGCCAGGCTGGTTGAACCTGAGGATGGGGAGTCAAGACTTTGACTCTTGCCATGTTTCATCCTTCCCTTCCTTCCCCATCTTCCAGCTGTGCGTCAAGGTTTTCCATCATGCCTGTGAACTTGTAAGCTTCAATATTTGTGACTCTGAGGACTGTCAATTTCTCACAAGGCAGCTTACCCCCCAGTGCGCCAAACGCCATAGCTTAGTCGTGAGATTACGGAATCGAATGATTCAACTTGCATTAGAAATCTGAAATTGCAAGCTACAACATATCTAAATTTCAGATTGTTTCGTTCATTCAATGTTTGGAGATAACTTTCCGAAGGTCGCGAGTTTTCTGGGCGTCATAACGAAGTGCTGCAGAAATTTCTGAGCTATTGAATCATCTGCTAGTAGCCTTCGCATCATCCTTGATGATGCGATCGACTCTTCGATCGATGATACCCGGGCTAAGAACCCTCTTGTTTGGGGCAAGGATGACCGAGTTGCGCAATAGCTCTGTATCGGTCATTCGTATACCACCACAAAAAATGTCATGGACCAAATTTCCCCGAACGATGTTGTCATTTGACAGTGCAATCGTATCCTGGTTCGCCATTGCCCACAGTCAATAGCCAACTGGCAAACTCTTGCTGATCCTGGTTTGCTCTCACATTTTGTTAGAGTTTGCGCAAATGAGGTGTCTCCAAGAACGGGCGTTCCAAATGCTTGTTGCATCTTGATCAGCGCAAGTGCCATACGCCACCACCGATAGCACTTGTTGAAAATCACCACCAAGCAGCATGAATTTGCCACGAAGCAGTCTAGCATCCCAGCAGATGTCTCGCATGCCCACGTCGATTGCATGCAAGTCTGCGCAGCGGCCATGGGCGCCTCATCCCATATAAATATAACAGCTTCTCGTAGTTCAGCAGCATTTCGTGAGTAATGTGACCGCATCTCGTTTGGGCGCCTCGTATCACCAAACGGGTGTTGTTGTCCATCAGTAAAGGCAGTTTGAACTTGTTATGCTCCGTCGTGCCGCAAGGTAGTAGTGTATGCCAGTTCACGCAACGCATGTGCACCGCTTCATTGCTGCGTCGAGACTTCGGAATGATGTTATAGAGGTACGTCTTGCCCGTACTGCCAGGTCCATCAACAAAGAAGCAGCATTGTACATCATCGGGTTGCCGCACTGCATCCATTATCTCGTCGTGGATAGGGCGTT